CCTGCAGCAGCCAGAAGGGCTGTGGGGCAGGACTAAACTCCCAGCAGGAGGGAAGGGAATAAAAGATTCCAATGCTGAGATTTGCATGGATTAAAGGCGGTTTTAATTTGCCTTGATACCCTTGGCTATCAGGTGGATTACGCAGGCGGTGGGATTTGGGGCTGTCTAGCCAACTAATACCTGCCTTACTTTAATTTGATTATTTTAATAATAGATGGAGGAGTCATAACTCCTTTGCCAACCCCAGATCTTGAGCATTTATGTGTGTAAGTAGCGTTTTATACCATTACTGTTCTCGACTAACAAATGCCCTGATGGGGTCTGGTGTGGCTGTTCCCAAAGCACTTTCTCAGTGGGGTTCTTCCAAAAGGGACCTCTTAGTTTGTGAGCTTGTGTTCCTTGTTTTTATAAAAGGAATGGTGGTGTTCTGTGAAATTGTTCCTTTGCAAGCAGGATGAGCCAGCACAGAAGTGTGTCTGGGGTGAAGTTCTCAGGGTCCAGAGAAGGGCCACAGACATGACCCGAGGGTTGGAGCAGCTCTGCTCTGAAGACAGGCTGGGAGAGTTGGGGTGTTCAGCCTGGAGAAGAGAAGGCTCCAGGGAGACCTTAGAGCACCTTCCAGTGCCTGAAGGGGCTGCAGGAAAGCTGGGGAGGGGCTTTTCACCAGAGAAGATAGTGATAGGACAAGGGGTAATGGTTTTAAACTGAAAGAGGAAAGATTCAGGCTAGACATCAGGAAGAAATTCTTCACTACGAAGGTAGTAAAGTGCTGGAATGGTTGCCCAGGGAGGTTGTGGATCATGGAATTACAGAATAATTGAGGTTGGAAGGGACCTTCCAGATCATCAGGTTCCAGCCCCCTTGCCACAAGCAGGGACACTTCCCACCAGACCAGGCTGCACAAGCCTCATCCAGCCTGGCCTTGAGCACCTCCAGGGATGGGGCTTCCACAGCCTCCCTGTGGCCAGGGCTGATGCCACCATCTTTTCAGTTCTGTCATGCATTTGCTCTTTGGCAGTCATGGTTCCTCCATGTGCAGGCCATGTCACTGATGAGATGGGGCTGTAGGATCTTCTGATCATCACTTACAACATCAGGGTTTGCACTCGTACCTCCCTCAGCGAATCTGGCACACGCTGCACCGCGCTCCTCACCTGTCAGGAGGAGGGAGGTTTATGAGTCACTGCAAGTCATGCTGCATGAATTACTCTCTTTCTTCTGGAACTGATCTGTTTTTACAGCCATCTGAAGACAGAAGCTGCTCTAAAACCCTACTCAAACATGTGTTGCGTTGACTTTTATAAGCTGTTTTGTTTTCATTCTGACTTTCTGTTTGCTTTTTTCCGTTACCTCCCAGGGTACATTTTTCCTTCAGCAAAATTTTTGGCCTCATCCTGCAAGGAGCCATGAACCACTCTTGCTCCAAGCTTTGTAAAAACTCAGCTTCATTGCGGATTCCCCTTTCCCTCTCAGATGGTGCTAAGCATGGCAGGGAAGGGGGGTCCTTCCTTCTGTCAAGGTTTTCTGGAGCTGGAGGTGAATACAAAGTCTTCCAGCTTTTCCTGAACTTTTCCTGTCTGAGGCTGTGCTTAGAACCTGGCAACTTGGTGAATGGAGGAATAAATTGACCATGAAAATACTGACAGCACAGTTGCTTCTGCCAAATTCCTGATTTGGTCCCATAAAATTTACTGCTCTGTTTTATATGCATATAACTGTTAATGGTTGGACTCAATGATTAATGGTTGGACTCGATGATCTTAAAGGTCTTTTCCAACTAGAACAATTCTGTGATTCTGTGATAACTAAGTGAAGGGTGGGAAGCTCTCCAGGGAGGAGAGGACAGGATGAAGGCTGGACTGTGTTTCTGCAGCCCCCAGTGTCATGGTTTTCTAGGCCCAACAGGACAACAAAGGAACAGCCCCATGGCCACTCATTCAACTTCTCCCACATACACACACTCTGGGATGAGGGGGACAAAGGGGGACAAAGCTCCTGGGTTGAGACAAAGGACAAGGAGGGTTCTTCACCGATTAAGGTCACGAGCAAAACAGACTTAACTTGGGGAAATAATAATTTATTTATTACACTAAGCAAACACACAAGGGACACAGACACACACAGAGCAGGGCTTGCATATGTTACCCCACCCCTCCCTTCTTCCTGGGCCCAAATCCCTTTGTTCCAGGTTTCTCTCCCTTCTTCCCCCCAGCGGCACATGGGGATGGGGTTTAGAATCAGGTCACAGGCTGGTGGTTCCTGCTGCTCCTTCCTCCTCAGGAAGAAGGATTCCTGACAGTCCTGCCCTGCTTCCCCACGGGGTCCCTCCCATGGCAGAGACTCCTCCACCAACCTCTCCTCCATGAGTCCTTCCCACGAGGCCCGGAGCTGCTTCAGCCTGGGCTTCCCACACAGTCACGGCTGCTTCGGGAACAAAATCCCCTCGCTTTGGGGTCTTCCAAAGCTGTGCAATCAGAGTCCACTAGCAGCAAATCCACTGGCCACAAAATCCAAGTCCACTGGCCAAGTTCACCCCTCCTGGCACCTTCAGGGAATGTTCTCCCACATTCCTTCTCCAGTGCAGGGGCACAGCTGCCATCTCGCCATGGGTTGCAGGGAAACTCCTGCTTGGGCACCTTCTTCCCCTTCTTCCTCACCAACCACCAGCACCTCTCTCCTTCCCCAGCACAGCTCTTCTCCCTCCTCCTTCTCTGCTTAGCACTTATCGCAGTTCTTCCATATGTCAATGACAGAGGCATCTATTGTCCCTCTGATGGCTCCTTGACTGGGTTTGGGGCAGGGGGAGTTTCTCAGCTTCTTACGAGAGCCACTCCTGTCGCTCCTGTAGCCCCTGCTACCAAAAAACCCACCAAACAAACCAGAACACCCAGACCCCTCTGCTCCTGGACAGCAGCATTGCTTGGAGGTGTCAGGAAACACTGGATCATAAGGAAGGAAATGCCAGTGGTGTGGGGGGACCATTGAGTTTGGGACGTCTGTGGGTTGTTCACTTCAAGACAGAGTTAAGAGAAAGCAGAGGCCTCAGCTGTTCTGTCATCTAAAAAAAAAAGATGTTGGGAAAGTAACTCAGCTCTCCTCCTCCTCCCTGCCAGATCCAATGTCTTTTTAATCTGCTTTATCTCAACTTCTCTTAAAATGGAAGTTGCTGGTCCCTGGTGGTCTGCTGGGGTGAAGCAGCAATTCTGGCAGACTTCAGAGCACAGTGATCTCCAGGTCTCATTGCTTTGAAGCTCCTGGTTCTATCACACACGACTACATCAGTTTTTTTCTTCTCTGTGGAGGTAAAAATCAGCCTTGTGTGCCCATCTGATTGAAGTGCTGAGACTTGTCTAATTGAAGAAGTGCTCGAGTCAACACTTGAGTAAGATGCAAAGCAGCGAGGAGATCACCCAGGGATTGTGTCTGAGCTCCCCAGCTACTTGGCACTGACAGAACAAATGGCTGGGTCACATCCTGCCCAAGGCTGGGGAGAAAAGATGTCAATAGGAAAAAAAATATTAATTTAGTTAAATATTTTGAACTCTAAATCTAGGAATGCCTTAGGTCTCTAATTTTGTGCTTTATAGCATCAGCCCAGGAGATGAGATTAGTGAAAGGAGGGGTTGGTTCTGCAAACTCCTGCAAGGATTCTGCTGCTGCCTTAAAGCTGATGTATGTTAAAAATATTTGAGGGTGGAGAAGAGAGATGAGGGAGTGGGAATAACTTGGTTTGTCATGTAAAAATGGGGATTAGCTGAGAACAGTCTCAGCTTCATGAGTGAACATGAGCCTCTGCAGTGCAGCTTTGCTGATGGTGTGAGAAACCCACATCCGAGAGAGGATGGCTGGTTTGAGCAACAGTGTGAGAACATGAAAAACATCACTGCAGGTCATCTGAACCTCAGGGACAAGCTTCAGCCCATTCTCTTTAGGATTGCACTTGATCATAAAATCACAGAAAGGTTTGGGTTGGAAAAGACCTTAAAGATCATCTAGATCCAACCCCGCTGCGTGGGCAGGAACATCTCTCAGCAGATAGGGTTGCCCAAGCCCCCATCCACCCTGCCCTTCAACACTGCCAAGGATGGGGCAGCCACAGCTTCCCTGGGCAACCTGGGCCAGGATCTCACCACCCTCACAGCAAATAATTTCTTCTTAGTATCTCATCTAAATCTTCCCTCTTCCAGTTTTAATCCATTCCCCCTTGTCCTCTCATTCCCTGCCCTTGTCCAAAGTCCCTCCCCAGCTTTCCTGGAACCCCTTCAGACACTGAAAGGTGCTCTAAGGTCTCCCTGGAGCCTTCTCTTCTCCAGGCTGAACACCCCAACTCTCTCAGCCTGTCTTCATAGGAGAGATCCTACAACCAAATTTTGTATCCAGAGAGGTTTGGTTTTGGGGAATTCCACTCGTGGCTGCCTCACTGGTATGTGGCCATCAGAAGTCCTGGTGACCACCATGTGGCTTTCTGGCCCCTTTCCTTGGAGGATAATAAGGGAATATACACAAAATACCCGAATTGCATATGTCTGGTTAAAATTGACTTGTAAGAGCATAAGGTAAATATGGTGCCTTTTCCATGGTAAAAATTATCTCCTTCTTCTAGCTGTGGACTCACCTAAACTTCACTTTTACCCCAAGCAGCAGTGAATGGGTCAAGTGAGGCTGTGACTGTCAGAGTCTCCTTCTCATTTGTAACTGCTGTTGACCTATAATCACCTGCTGCTGCCTCTGCACAAAAGCTGTTTTAACCCTCAAAACTCCCCTGATCTTGCATTCAGTATTTAAAAATTAACCTCATTTTTTCCCAGTGTGTCTCTAGCTTGAACATGAACGAAGATCTACATTTTGCACACAGGTAAAATGAGCTGGAATTGTGTTGCTGGTGACATTTCAAAGAGTGTTTGTTGGTGTGAATTTTAACTCTTTGGTTTTTTAAAGCTTGTTTTTTGGTTTGTTTGCAGGGGGCACAACTGGAAGAACCTTTATGGGCTCCTAATGACATGCAGGGGGACGATTTGCTTATGATAATTAAGGTAGGAAGAAATGTTGTTAATTTTGGCACCTTGGCATTTGTCCTCTCCTTGAAACAGAATCATGCTCTCCAGTGGCCAACCAGTCATTGCTCTATTTTAGGGACACGACCATGGCAATATGGAGCTACACACACAGCCAAGGCATTAACTTGTTGTGTTAAAGTGTCCCTTTAAACACGGGGGGAGAGAAATCTTATTTAAGAACTACCTGGGAACATAACTAAGTGGAAAAAATCTGACTTCCTCCCCCAAAGGATAATAAGGTCTCTGTTGGTGCAGAGTTGGAAGGGACATGACTCCTACTTGAGAGCACTCAGCACAGGGATTTTTTTGTTCTGCTGAAACGCAGTGGTTGAGTTGGAATTCAGGTTCTAACTTGCCTTCTCCAAAGAAAAAAAAAGTGCCTAAAAATATATTTTATTAGTTTATTTTAATCATCTTGAGCTTCTGTGGAAAGCTGGTCTATCTCCAAATGTGACAAGAGAGAACTGAGTTCTTGATTAATGAAATGGAGGAAAATCCCTGATTGTAAAAGAACTGAACTGTTGGACAAACTTGGAAAAGGAAGTACAAATGGACACAGAGTGAAATGTATTTATAAGTAGTTTTTATGATACTTTACTATCTGGATTCTTGTCGTGCTGGCTCATTTCTGCCATGGCTGTGGCTCTCAGCAGCACCATCAGGGTGGTGCACTGGTCGCTGCTGGTCTCTGCCTCTTGTTGCAGCAGGAAGGAGGATCTTCACCACAGATGCCATATAGACTCCTAAATGTGATCCAACCTTTCCACTTGCAGTTCAAAAACCTCAAAAAGACATCTTGACTTGACCCAGGCAAATGGACCCTACACATTTCCAGGCTTTCCTCTACTCACTCATTTCCACTTAGGAGTTTGAAAAGGTGGTGGAGCTGCCTCCAAGTTCCCCCCAATGTAACAAACCTCTGCAAGTACCCAAGACAGAGCAAAGCTGGGTGCTCTGCTTTGGAGCCTGGTGAGATGTTTGGTGAGATCAACATCACAGACAGGATTTTGTGCTGGCATTTATTCAGATTGTGCTGCTATTCATGTATTTATTATGAAACGTGTCGCTATCACAGGGGAACATGGGGAGCTGTTCATCTCTCATACTTCTGACACAGGGGTTGCTTTGTATCTTAACTGGGGTTTACACTTCTTATTGGCACGGGTGGGATTGGTGGTTTGGTTTGTGTTTCGTGTCAGTGGATGGTTTACAGGCTGAGTTGTTGGAAGGAGAGGGGGAAATTCAAGCTGTAACAAGAGCAAATTCTTTTCATGCAGGTTTACGGTTCTCGAATGTATCTGTACTTTCTGTTTGGCTGGCGATAAGATGCACTACTGTGGAATTTGCTTGGAGCAGGGATTTGCATGAATTATTGTTTCTTACAAAATGAACATCTGTGTGAGCCTTCTCACTGTGCTCCACGGTACCAGAGCCCCCAGAAGCAGAAGGGTTTGTGTGCCTGGATGCAATGGTCAGCAAAAGCCGAGTGCTCCGGGGAAGGAAAGATGGGGCAGTAGAAACCAAAGCTGCTGCAATCAAGGGGAAAATTCCTTCTGGGCTTTGCCACAACGTCTGGACGTGTGTGTTTATTTTACATGCTCACTTCTTTCCTTCTCATCCCAGTGGGATATTTTAAAAAGCAACAAGGTAAAACTTGGGACAATTATTCTTGGCCTCTTGCAGAGTTCAGTTTCACAGAATCACAGAATGTGTGGTGTTGGAAGGGACCTTTAAAAGTCATCTAGTCCAACCCGCCCTGCAGTGAGCAGGGATCTTTTTGACTAGATTAGGTTGCTCAGAGCCTGGTCAAGACTGACCTTGAATGTTTCCAGGGATGGGGCCTCCACCACATCTCTGGGCAACCTCTTCCAGTGCTTCACCACCCTCATTGGAAAGAGCTTCTTCCTAATGTCTAATTTAAATCTACCCTGCTCTAGTTTAAGACCATTGCCCCTCATCCCATCACTCCCTGCCCTTCTAAAAAGTCCCTCCCCAGCTTTCCTGTAGTCCTTTCAGGCACTGGAAGGTGCTCTAAGGTCTCCCTGGAGCCTTCTCTTCTCCAGGCTGAACAGCCCAAACTCCCTCAGCCTATCTTTGGAGAAGAGGTGCTACAGCCCTCAGGTATCTTTGTGGCCCAATTCAGATTAAGGGAGTATAACATCATCAGTTGCAGGAGACACTGACATAGTGTGGCCTAAAAATATTTAGAGAATGGCAGTAAACAATCATTATGGATGGTCTCTTGATTCTGCACTTGAAGCATTTCATTTCAAGGGTTTCACGTTCTTGTAGAGAGATCTTTTCTGTAAATCACAAATTAAGCAAATTAGCAATAGTGTCATCAGTCTGTCTACAAAAAGCAAGAAGCTGACATTGTGAAGAAACCTTCAAGCTGCAAGCACAAATTATCCAATATTGAAAATGATAGTGTCTCACAGGAGTAGGAAAACCAATGGAAGAATCACTTGAAGTTTGGGTGGCTTCATGCAGAAAGACAAGCTCTTTATTTTACTGCTGAATGTGGCTGCTAAACCTGTCATCCTCACCCTTTGGCTAAACCTGATGGTATTTAATTATTTGCTTGTAATTCTTTATATTTTCTTGTAGACTGGAGGAAAAGTTGAGGTAAAGGACATTACTCTAAAATACTGTGTGTAATGTACTTATTTCTCAGAAACAGGGGTTTTGAAGCGTGTTAAAGTTTTGCATGTGGTCAGAGATCAGCACAGTGACTTACTCAGGAGGGCAGAAAACCATCCCCAGCATGGAGGTGACACTCATATGGGTACCAGTGCCATGCTGAGCTGGGTGCCCTGTTCTGTGAGCACTAAAACCACACCTCCTATTTCAACAAAGTCCACCCAGAACCATTTGCTACCTTCGGACCATCCGTGTCCTTCCCTGTGCCTTTTCCAGCTGCGTTGCCAACATCTTTTGGGAAGTGGGAACCAAGCTGAAGTGCCCTGTGGATTTGCAGAAGAGTTTGACATGTGTGGTTTTCTTCTCACCGGTTCCAGCAGTGCCAAGCTGATGTTTTCAGCTCTACCCACAATAACTGAAAGATCTTTCCTGCCAGATAAGAGCCAGTAATTGTGGTTGGCTCGTTCCTCTGGTATGTGTTCCCGTATTAACTTGAAATTTAATTTCTCATCAGAGAGCTGCTGCTGCTCCAGCACAGGCAGGGGAGGCTCCACAGAGGCACTGGCTGCCACACCAGTTGGATCCTGCACTCTTTATCTTGAGCATTGGTCTTCAGGAAAGTGCTTGAGTGCCATAGCTTGGTCTTCTCATGAAGCACACACACCTCTGAGTGACCTCCAGGAGAGGCAAAGAGGAGGTGACCCATGGGTGGGGACCCATCCCAGCCCTGCAGTTCATTCTGGTGGCTTTTGCATCAGCTAGTGACCAAGCCAAGAAGTGCTTTTGCCCCCACCTGGAAGATTTGCTTCTTTAGTTTGGGTCAAAGCTGTAGTCCTTCTCAAACTTTTAAAGATTACTGTCAGATGTTGGCATTTGTTGATGTGCAGGCTGAGCGCTTTTTGGGAACACAGAGGTTTGCCCTGAGACCAGAAACACAAATCTGTGGTGCTCCTAAGTCCCATAGGCACTTCTACCCACCTCTTCCCTATGAAACTCCTGCACTGAATTTGATGTCACTGATGTGAGCTGACCTCCTGGCTTGCTGCCTTCTAAAAATACCCTGGGATCTGTATCAATTGATCCACAACCCATCCGTGCTAAACACACCTCCCGCGGTTCAAGCTGTCTCTGCAGAAGACAACTGCTTACAGAAACCACACCAGGCAGCATGTTGGGACCTGCAGCCTGTACCTGGAGCTCCTGTGGATAAATAAACACATCCACCCTCCTTCTTCTTTCTGACAACTGCCTCCCTGCATAGTAATGTATGGGGGTTTTTTTCAGTACCTTGCAGGTTTCCTCTTGCAGGCGTTGAGGAGCACCTAATGTTGATGTTAATTGGGCCTAACTATCAGCTCACAGGCATCACTTGCTCTTGTGTCCTTCAGAGAAGTGTGATTTTGATTGAAGTTCAGTCCTGAAAAACTGATACCAGCAACTGATGTATCTGTCACCTGAGACAGGCAGGAAACTGCACCAGATTGGTGGTTGTCTCAAAAATACGTTGCCAGCCCTGGGTCTGCAGGGTGTAGCAACCACAGCTTCAGCTTTCGGGAGGTTTGCAACTGTAGCCTGCAGCTTGGGCTGAGGTTCTTGGTGGTGTTTCCTTGCTTTAAGGGCTTTTAAGTTTAAGGGCTTCCTCCACATCATGTCTCCAGTGAGAGCAAGGAGTACTAATTACAGCTAAACACAGTTACTGCTGATAGTGATGAACCTGAATCTATAGGAACTTTTTTTTTTTCATGTTGATGTCTTCGAACACATCTCTGCTTTGGTTATATTTGGTCCTGTGAAAGGGTTGAGTTGATCCACATCTCTTTTGAAAGAACAGATCCTTCCCATCAGGCAGGTAACATACTAGGAGATTTAAATTACTATTTTTACAGCTCAAAATGGATCTTCTTCCAATCAATAATGCTTACCAGCTCCAGCCAAACCTGCCCTGCTCTCAAAAGGTCTAGCAGATGTGAAGGTGAGTTCCCCACCACTGGAGAGTTTATCTGCTCTCAGTCAGAACAGCAAAGTTGAGGAAGTGAAGATGTGGAAGGGCTGATGTTTGAGCTCCTTTGTCATTGCTGGGTGGTGCCTCTGGAGGATGGGGGTGATGCTGTCTTTGTTGTCAATCAGTGGTGCCCATTTCTGCTTTGTCAGGGTGTCCTTCATACTGATGTTAGCTTTGCATCCCCCCATCCTTACCATTTGAGGACAGTGTTAACAGTGGAGATCCCTGCTTTCTGATGGTGGAAAGCAAACAGTGAAGAGCATATGAAAGGTCCTCTGCACCTAACTTTGGGTGGCAGCAGCCTCTCAGTAGCACAGGAGCTTTCCATCAGCAG